GATGCTGTCTAAAAATATATTCTATGCTTAAAAGAAAGATATAAAAACCTTTTAGCAGAATCCTTGTTTGTGTAGTAAAAGCATAATTTCTTGACAACATTGTGAAATCATCCTCTTTTTTAAACTGGTTGGTTTTTACAAAATGGAAAGACTGAAATGCGTTGCCATACCAGTTACTAACCAGTAAGGTTATAAATTAGATAAAATGTTATGGCAGGTAAATTTACTACTGTTACACTGAATGATTTTTGTTGTTCCATTCAACTGAGTTACAAAACTAATGACATCTTATTGCAGGATGAAGGAATTAACCACCCTCACCAACCTGATAGTTTTACACATTGACTGAATGCATCCAATATTCTGACCAAAAATATTCATAAGAACAGAAATTGTGAAGAAAATGCAGTAAGAAGAGTAGGATAAACGCAAGAAGAAAACGGAATCACGTTTTACCAGCTGTTAAAGAAAGATTTCCACAGCTGATGCCCATCTTATGCAAACCTTTTTTTTTTTTGTTTCTTCATAGAAAGTCAGATTTTTGGGTGCTGTGGCATTTCTTCTGAAAAACTCACCCAGGTTCTTTAAAGAAGCTGTTTTTCTGGTGCTATTACCCCTGCGTCAAGCATTAATTCTCCTTTAAATAGTAATAAAAATATCTAAGCTATCTTAAAGTGTGATGAATTTGAAACCAGGCAAGGATTCTTGGATGGTTTTTTTAATTTGTTTTTTTTTAAATCAAATAACCAACAGTTGCTGTGGTTCAAATTAATTAGCATCCTTTGGACCACAGCTGTCTTGGGTAACAAATGTGCTGAATTTCCAAAGACACAGAAAACATCCAACAGCTTCTTTGTACTCGTGCAGTAAGCTGATGTCCTCTTTATTCCCTAGAGGAAAAGGTATCAAAGATAAGACTACTCCAAAATTCTTCTCAGACCTAGGTAAGCTCAGCTCCTCCCGTTTCCCCAAGGAACAAACTTTCCCTGTAAGCAGATGAATTTCAGCTTCTCCTCGCCCAACACTCAGTGGACTTTAACCTCCTCCTCCTCCTCCAGAGCCTGGTGACCGAGGTCCTCACAGGGAACACGGGAGCCCCCGAACTACACAAATGAAACCAGGAACGTCAACCCTTAATTCGTGACACCCCAAGCAAATGCCCTCATCACTGAATTAAATAATTTATCTCTGTCTCTCACCATCTCCTCCTGTCGCTGCTTCAGTCCTTGTCTACATGACTAAATAATAACTGATCTGAGAAAAGCCTGACTGTATGGACAGTGAATGAGGCATTTACACGAAACTCAGAAGAGACCGATTAAAATTCTTCATCTAATTTGCATTTATTTATTTATATAATTTACATTTATATATTTATAAAAAGTGGACTAGCTTCAGTGCGGTATTATAAGCGGAGCAGATCCTCATTCCCAGAGGAGGGACCTGAACTTCAGTCTCTCACACATCAGATGACTGTTTCTGTCAAAACCCAGTATTTCCCACTGCAGAAAGTTTCAGCAGAAAAGTTCTATTTTAACAAAACAACAAACTTATGCAATATTTATTTCGCACTGTATTCAGAGGAAACTGCCACCTTTTTTTTGTTTTAATTATCTTTATAATATATATGTTTTATTTTAATTAAGCCTTTGTTACAGTCTTACTGCTTTTTATTATCACATTTGCCTTTTTCATACTTGTTTTTCTAAAGGAGGTCTTTTCCTACAGTGTTTTAACGTATTTACACATATCTGTCTCTCACATTGTGTACACTTTTTTCCCTCCTCCTTTTCCTACAATCTGTTCTCTATCTAGTGGCTTGTTTTTTCTCTGTTATTTCAAAATTCTCTTTTGCACGATCAAGTTTGAATGTCTGAATTAACACATTAATCTTACCTCTTCACATAAAACCTCGTCAACTGCTCCCGACACCTATTACACAAAAGATTGAGTCTACACAACAGAGTTTGATATAAAAGATGGAAGGAGCAGCATTACCTACAGGAACCACCCAGATGAAAAGAAAAAACACATTTCTAGCTACTCGAATTCCCACCAGGTATTTCTCCTTGGATCTTTTCTTTCCAGTGTGTATCAGCCCCAAGCCACTCGAAGCATGATAAATTTTAAGCCTTTACATTGCTCCCTTATTCCACACATGAAAAGTTTTTTTTATTTTTTTTTTTCCTCAAAAGTGTTGTACCAGAGAGAAATAAGTTTCTTTTCTTCTTTTAACTCCCTGGCCGGGAGAGCAGTATCAGTTCATTCTGCTCAATCCCCTGCTCACTGATAACTCCAGCTTTCGCATCCCTGTTTTCAGTTTTTCCGAGAAATGACTGAAGCTTGTTTGTGGTAGTCTCATCACTCTCCATGGAGAAAAGCAGTAAGGAAAAAGGCACAGTTTTGACCTACCTAGAGGGTTTTTTGTTTGTTTGTTTGTCTGTCTGGTTTTGTTTTAAGGTAAGCAGAGGTGATATTCCTGAAATAGTTTCTACACAAAAGACATTTGAGCACTACTTTTGCAATTTTAAAATTATTAAAAAAAAAAAAGAAAAGAAAACCTAATCTGCAGCAAATGTTTTGAGCTCCTTGCGTATGTTTCACACACACACAACAGATCAGTGGAATTTTCAGATCCTGGATACTATTATCTACTTCAGATTCACATAGTTTATTAGACAAAAACAAAAAAAAAATCCATGTTCTCCTGTCATCAGGACTGTAATCTTATGCTTTGCTGAGGTCAGCTGGTTTCATTCAAGGATGAGACCTCCTCTTAGAAGGAACACTGGAAGATCAAGGAAAATAATTCCTTACTTCAAACTGGCAACGTTGCATGAGGAGTTACCACAATTTTCATTCAGGCAGTTTATTGTCTAGGCCAGTTATTTTCACTTCATAGGAGACAGAAGTGCCTAAATCAGCTAGAGGAATGAACACCAGAAAACCCACAAAAGGATGCAATTTTTATTATTGTTAACTAAAATTGGAGTCCTTATATTTCACTCTACCACAATTTCCTGCATTTGGAAGAGTAATTTATATGATCTGTACATGAAGTAGACATGATATCAGCATGTAACTATCTGTATTCGCTTTCTAGTCATAACATAATGACTCCAAATATCTTCAGTGGGGTTCCACTTCCATAAAATACTGCCTTATCTAACCAGATAGACATCCAACTCCCACTACAGTGATTACAGGATAAGAAAAACTGCATTTAATATAATACAATTGAATATGATCTAATCTTCATTTAGCAGGAAAAAAATAATTGCAAATAGTATGTGTTCTAAACACGTAGTACCATTTACCACAATTTTAAGATCTACAAAAAGGGAGAGTGGATTTTATAGTAGCTGGAACTACTGAACTAAAGAGAACTACGAATTTAAAAACCATGCTAAGAAAGAAGTCAAAAGACTTGAGCACAAAATCTGATGTCCCAATGTGATTGAATGATTTGATTTTTTTAAAGATATTTTCTCATCAAACTATTTGGGTTTTTGTTGCTAGGTTTTTTTGTTTGTTTGTTTGTTTGTTTTTTTTAAAGAAGCGTACAAAATGCAGGAATACATAATCTGCTTTTAATGATAATCAACTTTGGAGGGAACAATAACACTTGATCTATGTCACACTGGCACAATCGTTGCATAAAATTAATAAAAATAACAAAACAGGAAAGATTATCTGTTAATTTAGGGATAGTTTCCCAGTTATGAACACCCAGCCTCTCATGTTAGCCAGGACAGCAGCACTTCTGTGAAAGAACCAAAATGCAGGCATGTAAGCACTGCTAGAAAAATTTAAGTAGCTACAGCTCTTACGGTTTCTTGGGAAAGATTTGGGAACGAGCACTCCTACACTGGACCTGCCATACACCTGTATTACACACACAGTAATCCTAAAGTATTTTTTTGTTCTGCCTCTCGGTCTTGATTTAAAATGAACAAAAACTTTATGTTAGAAGAAGGCAAGCACTGCTCTCACAAGCCCAGGTTTCTTTTTCACACAAAGTGTAGTCTGGTTCTTTGTTAGTGGATTATACAAACCAAAAATAACTTAATAGCCTAACCTTTTAATATGTTTTCTTTGCTTCATCAAAATAAAGTTTGACGAGAACAGTTTTTCTATACCGAGTACTTTAAAGCCAACTGCAAAAAATTAAATTTCATTTAGCAAAATGTGTAACAAGCACAGTGACAACACTGATTATTTAGAGCAGAGCATTAGCTTAACTTGGTAAATATAATAGAAATACTGAGTCTTAAATAGGCTATTCTACTGTTTACTACAGGAAGTTTCACAGAGGTAGCAGGATGCAAGAGATGAATTACACCTAGAAAGTTCCAGTGTTAAAAACATTAGACAAATTATGCAGTCTCTCACATAGATGTAAATGTAACAAAATAGTGTCCCTAAAATGTAAATGCTTTTTACTGTCAAGTATTGATAGGTGAATCAGAATGAATCAGTATTCAGTGCAAAACTGAAAAAGACTGTGCCTCTAATAAATTCAGTACAAGCCTAGCAAAAAAGCCTGCTGTTATCATGAAAGCTCATGTTATCATGAGATTATAACAGACGTTGAGTGAGAATACGTACAAATTTAATGAAATGTAAAAGAAAACACTTCAAATCATAACAAATTTCTGTAGTGCCTTCTATTGCATCTCATCGCCTGCTAAGGGCTCTTGTCACGTTAGCTGCCATATTAAACTACACGGCAGTGCCGCCACAACAACATGACATACAACTGAATTTTTTTATTTATTTTTTTTTTTAACCGTAAGAGAGAAACTTGGTTCCGTTGAAAAAAAAGTTACCAAAAAAACCCCGAGGCAGTATTCCCATTGTAAATAAAATGATCATATAGGGAAATATTGAACAGTGATTAATGAGTATAAAACATCACAGATCCAGAGCTCTTCACGCACAGATATACACGTACACACGCACATGCTCACACAACTGCACACATGTGCACTTTCACCTACCTCTATAGCTCTCTTTATATACGGGATCTGCGTGCCACTGTCCAGATCTTCATTAATTATAAGTCTCCTAGCCCACTGACCTGCTCTGACCACTCCGTTACCGTGAATCAGGACCAACATCTTGTCAGGGTTTGTCAAGGCATCTTCACTCATGAAGATAAAGCTCTTTGGTTCACTCTCAGTTGCATCAACCTGCAGTTACAGACAACGCGCACTATTACACAGCAATAAAATTTTTTAAAAGAACATCTGTAGCTATGAAGTTAGCCACCAAACTGATATAAAAACCTTCACCATTTAAGGACTATTTGTATATATAAGGATGAATTTGTGCCCGGTACTAAACAAAAACAAAGAAAAAGCTAATATCCGCGCAATGTAATTCTGAAACATAAAAATATACTGCAGTTTAGAACCATAATCCAAAGGGCATTAAAATCAAAAAAAGGGGTAAAAAGTATGCTAAAGCTATGAAAAGTTGTTTACAGAAATTTACTGGGAAAAAAGAAAGTCCATAAAAGAACAACAACAAAAAAATCATGTAATTTGTCACTTCTAATAGGCCTCAAGCAACAATAAAATTCTTACATAATATGAAAAAAATCCCGGAGAGTTCCATCTCAGCCACCTCAACGTAAATACCCAATAAGCCATGTAGGAAAGGGTACTGTAAATTTGTCTATTATAAATTTAACAGGATAGGCCTAATAAAATATAGAAATCCAATTTGGGTCTAAATAATTGCTTCATTAAGAGTCCTGCACCTGGGTCAATGCTTACCTACTTTGCTGTAGGAACAGACCAACAGCCAGCTTTGATATTTAGTAGACTATAATTTAATTCCAAGTTTTGTCCTTTCTCTAAAGAGTAGAGCATCACTGTTCACTAAAATGGAAGTTTTATAGAACAGATCTACACTTGGTTTAACAAGCCTGGCTAAACACAGAACATTGTGCTGCTGTAAATGTGAGAGCAGAAAAAAAAAATAAAATCCTGTCCTCTTGTTCTTCCCTTCCTACCATTTGAATACCTAGAAAGGAAGAATGGAACAGGCAAATCTCCGTGCTCTACTGTACTGCACACGCCGTGGCCGCGCAGGTTAACTGTACAGCTGCTAGAGACACGCCTGGATCATTTTATGCTCTGCAACAGTGATGAAAGGCAGGTCAGGATATCAGCCTTCTGTTGAGACAGGAGGAATGGCTACTTGGATTCATGGGATCGCAGAATCACAGGATGGTTTGGGTTGGGAGAGACCTTTAAGATCATCCAGTCCCACCCCCCTGCCCCGGGCAGGGCCACCTTCCCCCAGCCCAGGTTGCCCAAAGCCCCGTCCAACCTGGCCTTGAGCCCTTCCAGGGAGGGGGCAGCCACAGCTGCTCTGGGCAGCCTGTGCCAGGGCCTCAGCACCTCACAGGGAAGGATTTCTCTCTGATATCTAATCTAAATCTATCAGTCTCCACTCAGACATGAAGCTGTTGACCACAACTCTTTGGGTGTGACCACCCAGCCAGTTCCTGATGCCCCGTGGGGTCCATCCATCAAACCCACGTCTCTCCAGTCCAGAGGTGAGGATTCGTGCAGGACAGTGTCAGATCTTTGCACAAGTCTGGGTAGACTTGTGTAAATGATTATGTCATTTTTTTCTCATACATGGGCATGTATTCTTAATCAGGAAAAATTATTTCTGCATGAATCTCCAGGGTTTTTTTTAATGCAAGTAGTACCAACAACTTTTTAAATTAAGTCAATGTGGCTACCTGAACAAGAGGAATTCCTAACTGGAAGAATGATCATGTCTCTTCAGTACCTACCAGTGAGACGATGACCTTATCCCCTGCTCTAGAATGACGTAACATCTCAGGTACCTCAACTTGCACTTTCTGCACCAGGCAAAGTATGCACCTTCCCTCATGCTTTGTGTGAAAATAGAAAACATGGTAAAAAATACATTCTATTGAAGTACAAGAGGTACCATACTGAGGTTACAGTCAGATCACGCTAAGACTTCTGAAGTTGCAGCATCAATACATTAAAATTTAATATGGCTCAGGTAAAAAGCCAGACAACACCAAATCTCAGCTAGTACTTGGCAAGACATAACTGACTTTTGCACACAAACTGAATACTTATGATACTGTAAATTAAGAAAAAAACATTGTGAATTTGTATTTTAGACAAAGATACAACTTAGCTCTGTGTTTTAGCATTTATAAACTAAAATTCTGTGTAGTATTTAGGAAACTAGCACTAAGTAATCATATGTACTAGAAGATACGACTAGTTCACACTTCCGCAAATACGCTAACTTTAAAAAGTTAAAAATACCCACCAAGATCATAAAAAATAACTCTTCAGTCTCTTCCTCAAATTAATCACATTTGGAAACTTTTCTTCAAGCTAATTTATCTTCAGGCAGCAATAATTCATTAGATCAAGCTTTCACTAAAGAATGCACATAAAGGTCACTCCTGTGCACAACCTTACTTTACTGACAAATCAACACAGAATACTGTTTAGTGCTAGACACACTGAGTTCGCAAAAAATAATTTATATTTATTAGTCACTTTCTCTTCTGGACCTACTCATGAACACTTATTTTTGATCCTTTATTTAAACACAAATCGAGTAAATTCAGTAAAATGCTGAACTTCAATTAGTTTAATTTAACAATTTGATTCAACATCATTACTCACATGCAACAGCAATCTTCCAACAGTCCGTAGCTCAGAATGTCAAACCAATCTAAATTCTGCTGGTAATTTACTGTTTAACAGTACTGTTTAAAGTTTAATTTTCCTTTTCTCAGATTTATTTTTCCAGTGCACAAGTATACCTTAAGGTTTATGAATGTATGCAGTTATGGTGAATTCTCCTGAGTTATGTACTCTACATATATTATGATGTTCTTTAGGTTTTCAGACAGTGAATTACTTTTTCCATATGAGTTCTGTCTCAAATGAGCTATCACCTAATACAGTGGTACCAGTCTATAGAGTATTTTGGTAGCATACTAGTTAGTATTTTGCACAGCTGCTCTCAATATACAGGGTAAGATCAAACCATACTTGAAATCCAATCTTTCTGACATTCATGCTATCCCATTGACATTGACTTAATTGTTCAGTTCTTAGCCACTACCAACCCAAGACACTTGAGACGTGACTAGGCTCTAGGGGTCTTTTCCTTAGTACATTGGAAGCTTTTCAGTTTAAGATTGAACATTAAATTTTTGAAGGGAAAAAAATCCGCTAATATTTTTCTTACTCCAGTTAAGAAACACAGTAAAAATTGTAAGCCTAGAGCCTACAAAGAAGTGAAACAGGTGTAACTTGCGACTGCAAGAAAGAACATGGCAAATAAATGGAACTGAAACTGAAAAGACTCAAAAAGATTGTGAGAATTGTGAGCAGCTGGTGGAGAGAGAAAAGCGCTCATTTGCTTCGCAAGATAAGAAAGTCTTCTGTTATGCAGTTCTACATAAAGCTTGCTAACTCACTTCTGTTACAGTCTTCACAATATTGAATATCCTGGTTTAAAATTTTTCACTCAAAATTGTAGAAAATGAAAACTGCTGATCAATATTACAAGCAGCTAATTAGCATTTGGTCATTACCACAACTAACTTGACAAACCTGAAATCAGTGGAATTTCTGCGAAGCAAGTATTGACTAGACTTTGGCAACAAAACAGCCAAAAGGAACGTGTAGTGGAGAAAAAGAGACCATTGTTTCTCAAAGCAAAGTAGTTCTTGGCTGTCTAGTAGATCAAGAGAACTACTGAATGAAGTTTTAGCTATCGAGGTAAAAGAGCGAAGCATTGATAAGTTAGAAGACTCTGCAATGTGAGACCTCTCAGTGCCATTGTCAATAAACCATGTTAGTAATTATTTAAACTTCCATCTCAAACCTTCCCAGAAGCTGTTAAAGATGCATTTAATTCAGAAGCACCCTCTATTTGTCCTCAACAACAGCAAAGATCAATCACTGATTATGCCATTAAAACTAGAGAAATACAAAGACTTCATCGGGATAAAAAAATTGCAGCCATCTTTATACTCGTAATATAACCTTCAATGGAGCACAAAATGAGAAATGTAAAAGAAATAATTGAACGGCTTCTCCCTGAATATGAGTCTCTTAATTTAAATTTTCAAGTCCAGTAGTATAGGTTGAACATCAAGAGAGCTACGATACCTTACAGTAACAATAATGCAATACGCATCTTCAGCCTCCCTGTGTAGGAAAAAACGCTCAGATCTATGTTTTGTCAGAGATGCTGACAGAACAAAATAATGGGAGGGCTTTCCCGATTTCCAGACTGCTCTTCTTTTCATGTCTGAAAAGAAATTTACAAACAGTTGTGTCCAGAACTGAAGCTGCCACCTGAGAAAGCAAAATAAAGACAGCAAGTTGGACTTTGCTTCATGAGGTCGAAATTAAGAAACATGAGAGAACGTGAAACGCCGTCATCTTAAACCTTTGAAGCATAGCATTTCTGTACACTAATTAAAAAAGGTACTCCACTTAACACGGCCCTGAAACACGCTTCATATATTTGCACATCATTACACTGTCTACTTCATTATCAGCTAACACAAAAAGGAAGGCCAATACACCGGCTTTCTGATCACCCGTGATGAAGTTCAGGAAAAAACACGTTTTTGTATTCACCTCTAAAATGTTCATATAATAAGGTCATACTCGTAAGAAGAGCCACCTTGGTCAGATCAAGGTCCCAGGGTCCTGCTTCTGACAACTGGCAGATGGCTGAGGGGAGGAGTACAGGACGTGTGGTTATAGAGTGATTCTTCTTTTGGGAACCAGTAACTTTGGAGCCTCCCGAGACTGAGTTTATACCTGGACAAGCACACACAATACTTCAATGTGCCCGTCCCACCTCAGTATTGTCAAATGGGGTTTTTTGAGTGCATTTATACCTTTCTCCTTGATAGCGTTCTGTGGCAATGGGTTCCACAATATAATTGGGACGTGTATGAAATAGTACTGTCTCTCTTTCAGTAGGGATCTCCTGCCTGATAATTTAAACTTGATGCCCCTTACCTTCTCTATTATGAAAAAAGCAAAAAACCATTCCCTATTCATCTTCTCTACACCTTTCATGATTTTATAGATTTGTCATAGTCCTTCCTCAGTCATCTATTTTCCAAGCTGAAGAATCTTTGTCTAATCTTTCTTTGTCTGAAAAGCATTTCATGCCTGTGATCGTCCTTGCAACCCTCCTCTGTATTTTTTTTTTTTTTAAATTCCTCATATCCTTTTTGATATGGTGTCCAGACTCCATGCAGTGTTCAAGATGAGGGCCCACATAATGAGTGGAATGATGATGTTTTTCTGTTTTGTTCTCAACACCTCATAATTCCTAACATCCTATTTGCTTTGAGGGTTTTTGACTGCCATTGAGCACTAACTGATGTTCTCAGAGAACTATTCACAGTCACTCCAAGCCCTTTCCTGAGTTGTAATAGCTCATTTAGAGGCCACCATTGTGTTTACAGAACGAGTTATTTTCCCCATAATTTCACATTTACCAGAATTGAATCTCATGTCATTTTATCATCCAGTCATTCAGCATCATGAAATAATTCCCCAACTCGTCACAATCAGCTTTAGATTTAAGTATTCTAAATAATTTTCGAAAAAAACAGCAAAGTTCGTTAGCTTGTATTAATTCCTTTCCTCCTTTTATTTACAGCTATGTCAATGCAGGCCTTAGTAATACTGCATTGGCAACAAATTATTTCATCTGTAAAATATGAACATCTTTTTTTCCCTTTTAACCAATTATTAACTTGTAAGGGGACTACCTCCTCCTATGGTTTTTAAAAGCATTTGGTGAGCTTATTGACACCTTTTTGGAAATCCACGTACGTTTTAACCGACAAGATCTTTCTTTTTCATGTGATCTCTAACTCCTTCAGTGAATTCTAGTTGGCTTTTTAAAAAGAAACCTGTACTGACTTTTCCCCCAATATATTATTTCCTCCTTAGACGTAGGAATCACTAAGAATCGCTCCTGGAGGCCTTTCAAAGACTATCGCATTTACTCACTTCCCATTTCTCTGATTAAAATAGCTGATTTCAGCAGTATGTTACATACTGGTTGGTTGTTCTGCAGCTTCATATTTGACTTCTTATAGAACCCTGGGCTTAAAAACCATCTCACACTGGAATTTGATTATCACACAGCACATCGATTTGTCCTAAGATCTCCTCCACTGATACATCAAATTTCAGACAGTTCCTCAGAATTACATCCTGTTTGGAAAAAAATTTAGTAATAATCAAGTGTGAAAACTGGACAAATAATGCTGGAAATAATCATGCTAGTTCTTCTTATTTGAGCTGAGAACTCCTTTTACATGCAGCTCACCTATCAGCCTCTTCAGCTCTCTTTTATTACTAGCCTTTACAACTGTAACAAGCTCCTCAAATTCAGTATTGGGTGATCTAGCTGTGATTTTATATGTAACTTGACAGCATTTATACTCTTTTCTATTTTCCTCACTTGCACAGGACTTACTCTTGCTATAGGCTGTCTTATTACTTCTATTAGTCTCCTTTACTAGTTTAGGCTTTTTTGTGTTGTTACTCGGGAGTCTGTCAGTGGTGATTTAAACATAGCCTTTAGACAGCTTTAATTTTTCAGCTTCTACATACACTGTTTCATTTTTCTCACTTTTGTAGGCCTCCTCACAACCTATTTTTGACTGTGGTGAGGGCTTCCTACACATAATAGTCACTACTAACGAAAGGTGCTCATACCTTGTGCCAAATTTTCCACGCTGCTCACAATTAAACAGCTGCATATATTTTGTGAGTTCTTACTTTGCTCCAAAATGCAATTAAATGATGACACTTTGCAGAAGCTGGAAGTAATACATTTGAGAATAGCTTAAATGCACTATTGACAAACTGCATCAGTACCTCAGTGCTTACTACATAATTTATAAATAAGAATAAACACAGATTAGTTCAACAGCGGGAGCTAGAAAGGGCCATCCGTCTCCCAAGCCAGACACCCAAATCTCAGAGCCCTGCAAATGAGTCCCCACATGTGACAGAGGTGATGGAGGTGTTGTAATACTTATTCTGAGTTTCTTCATCTTCATTTTTTGAAGCTAATAGATCAGCCTTAGCACAGCATTACTTACATTCATATTCCTTTTTACAAAGGACATTCAAAGAAAGTTCTACAGCCTCAAAACTGAGGTGCTTTAAAGTTTATAAATTACAGCCTCCTGCTTGCACAGAGAGAGGGTGACGTGGGCTGGGGAAGTCTTTTGACACATCACCTGTCTGGTACGTGGCAGTACTGGATCAGAAATTCCCCAACAAAGAAAACCAGTTGTGCAGAGAAGTTAGAGATCACGCCAGCACTGCACCAGGCAGACTGCCACAACGAACCCAGTTCTCTTCTCTGTCCACACAGGGAAGTGTGAAGTGGGGAAATGCCTTCTCAAGTGGTCTGGGGGCATCCATGCAGCCTGTGTGGTTGAGTAGGCTGGGAGCTCAGAGGAGAGCTGCTGCTTGCCCTCCCACTGCTCCGTGGAGATCCTGGCACAGCTCCTTCTGCCCTGACCAGGAGATGCTGGTAAAGCCTGGCTGGGAAACCTGGAGCATTTTGGGCAGGTTATCAAAAATTCCCTAAACAATATTTGGGGAATGGAAATGGGAACTGTGAAACGTTACAGAATTGCTACAGCAAAGGACCTTTTCCTTCCTTACCTCAAATGGGTTTTCCTCGACTGAGTATAAAGGACTGGCTGAGAACACAAAAGCTTCTCAAAGACCATAAGAATTCTTTATGATAGCACTGGAAAATCTACACAGTGCTGTCACACAACAGTCTCCCCTATGGTCTCCAGTACAGAACATAAAAATACCTGAACATCATCACGGTATCGCACGTATTTACAAACTCAAACGTGTTCTTTGGGCAGTGCTCCATCACTTCCAAGAGCTGATCCAGTATTTTTACTAAACAAGCAGCCCTTCATAAATGTTACAAGTTACCAAAAAATGTGTGTTTTCAAAAAATACTTGGAGTAGTTTACTGAAACTCAGTTTGACTTTATTCCTCTGCCTCTGAAGGCACGTTTCTTCTCTACATCCAGCTGTAGAGGTCTCAAAACATTCACACTTCTCAAAAAGCTCTGGTTCCTCTATCAAACGACCACATTTTGAAAATTCTGGTATCTGGTAAGGCAAGGAAGGCCCGGCTGGAGAAATCAAACACGTGAGAAGTGAGGTGGAACCACATCTCCAGATGCACACACACGCTGCGTGAGAAGGCAGCGTCCTGAGACAATGCCCTGCACAGAGCCCTGGCACACCTTGTCTTTATCTGGATCCTGGATTGCAGGTTATGCTTTTACAGATCCAAACAAACAACGTCTTCAGGAAAAAAAAAATTATACTTACTGGGAGAGTTACTTTCTTCAAGTGGCATTCCTTCTGCAGTAATTCATAAACATATTTAGTAATGATCTATGAGAAAAAAAAAAAAAGCAAATAGATATTAAACCACTTAGCGTAATGATATATCCAGGCAGACAACTTAAAGGCTAGTTAGTAGTCAGAGTTATAAGCTCTTGTATATGTTTTCACACTTATCTGAATCCTTTACTAAACAACTAATTGTAGGACTTGGAGCTTTACACAAAAAGATCCTCTCTGCCCCTCAGAAAACGCTGCTTGTCGGGACAAAGAAATTGTAACTGTACCTGTGAATCCATCACGTGCTGCTTGTGAATAATTATGTGCCTCAAAACTAAGGATTATAACCAATTAATATACACTCAGGGGTACAAGAAAGGCTCTTTTTTGCAAAGAAATACTTTAAAAGCATTTTTTTTCCACAAGCAGGACTCCTGAAACCCTCTCCCCTGCAGGTTCACTTCATGAGCTACGTAGAGAGAAGATCTTTAGTCACCCCCAGCACAAGTTGCCTTGCCATTTCTATTCACTGAACAGGGGAGGGATGGGTCAAAGGTTTCTAAATAGAAGAAAAACCCTGACTGATTCCCCACTATGGGTGAGTTTAAGTCTCTTGCCTCTATGTAGAAATAAAATTGAAATTTTAGACCTGAAACAAAAGAAATTATTTCAAAGAGCAACCCCCCCCCAAAAAAAAAAAAAAAAAAAATCAACCTAGTCACAACTAAAGGCTTGCTGTCTCAAAAGTAACAAAGTTGTTCACACTTCAAAGGCTTGCCTAATATCTAGGGAAATTTTTTTCACCCTTATATACTCTAAGAAAAATGGAGATGCAGATGTAAGAACTTTCTAACTATTATTAATTTGGGAATTAAACGGAGGAACAAACTAAAGCACTTTGTCCATATGGGGCTGTAAAAACAGTTTGGAAGTAACTGCCTGGATTTCACTGGCTACGGGAGTTAAGGGGAAAAAAAAAAAAAAGGCAAATTAAAAAGGGAAAAAAGTGCTCATTAAGAGCCTCAAATGGTGCTTGCCTTCTCTTTAAAGCTTGGGGAACTATGTTTAAATTCCAGACAGGACAAGATCTAAGTCCCAAAATATTAATCCAAGAATATCTGGGTACAAACCCAGCTGGTATTCTTTAGTCCAACCCCTCAAGGCCACAATTACAGCCATCTGAACCCACAGCATATTAAGCCACAACAGAAACGTCGCTGTAACAAAGCTCTCAAGTGATGGCATCTTAACAACACACTATGAACTGAGCAAGTAGGAGCCAGGGTATCATAAACTTCAATTTTAATTTTCCAAATGCACAATTACCAAATAAAGTTTCAATGAAGTCCAAAAGTTTTCATTATGTACATGTGAGCAAACACAATATGCAAACCTTTGGAACATATTTGAACAAATTAGAGGTACTGATGAAGGCTAATTAAAAATTTTGGCGCATGCCCCTCCCCTTCCTTTCACAAAACCCCAAAATCTTTATTAGGATTATGTGAATTCTTTGCTACCCTGCTCAAATACGTTTATTGATAGAATTATGTTCAAAAAACTTTATGGTTTTAAAGAAAATCAGTCTTACTGAACATTACTATCTACAGGGAAACTGCACTTGGAGAAAGAATTTAGCTGTGAGCCATGAGTTGATTTAAGACATGTTTATCCCCAAAGCAGTATGTTAGGAACATGCATACAGTGTAATTTTACCTTCAGGGCCAAACTTTTTATGGTTCACCGAAATCAACTTCAGTGTAATGCCAACAAGTAAAGCAGTTAAGTTCCTGCAGTCTCAGATGCTGATGTTGTACAGACATTAAAATGAGTATAATGATAATATGGCCTCAAACGTAGAAATTTTATTTTTCACTCTAAATCCAGGCATCTACTAACCGTCAAAACCAGTAAAAGAACACTCGGAAGAGAAAAAAATTGCTATGAAGAAAATATATTTCAGACACTGCTTGCAAAAATCTACCCTTTTTTGCAGCTATGTGTTTGTATCTATTTCTTCTATTCTCTCTCATCTATTTAGTCTGTGATGTCTTCAGGGCAGAAGTAAACCTTTACTCATTTCCTCCAGAGCCTGGCTCAATGGGGCTCCGATCCTAACTGGCTCTTTATGCACTACTCCAATATAATAAATAGTGATATCCCCCTTAAAAATGGGGCTGTTTAATCAGTAGAGGACTCTGGTATAGCGAAGACTTAGCCTAATGTACTGCTTTTAATAGCAGTAAACATGAAGAAAGATAAAGTAGGTAGGAGGCTCAGATTCAAAGTGTGAGATTACGACCTTCAGGCAGCTCAGCACCTGTATGGTCTCCACAGACCAGACAGACCTGAAGAAAAACTGCCATAAACTGCCCCCAGTACATACAAGACCACAAGAGGGTTTTTTTTTTGGCAGCAGATCAACAAGTTCAGGGATATCCTCGCAATGGCCGGTACGCTGTCAGCTTTATAAAGGATGGGCAGTGATACAAAAGATTTCGTGAAGCAGCAGCAAAGCCCAAAATTTGCCCAGATTTGAAATCATCATCATAACGGCCAGGTTTCCTGCGCTTTGCATGGATGTGCCCAGAAAATCTAGCAAAATCCTGTGTTCCTAGGAACATGGCCGCGCGTAACTGAAAACGCTACAAATCCAACATTACTTCTGGAATTTTACGCTTTTAATTACTTCTTGTGATTTTATGGATGACCCGTAATTTTGAAAAATTAACTTTTAAAATATCTTTTCTGCAGGCATTAAAAAGAGAAGGGAAATTAGAGCTACTATTACAAATCTCTACAAGTATTAGCCGGTGCATGCCGGTATTTTATCTTTAAGAACTGAAAACTGTTGTAGGATGTTGAACACTGTCTTGTGCCTTCCTGCATGAGAGGGTGGGTACGATTCCACTCTACGAACTCTCTTGGACTAATCGTTGGTCACACGGTTGCTCATGATGGTGGGTATTTAGTGACAGAGGCTGTTCAATCCAGTCCTGTGATAAGAGCTCATCTGGAACTCTCAAGCAACAAACTGTCCAGCACAAGACACTCTCAAGGCAAACTGTAACACTTGCTAGAGAGCCCTACTCATGTTATTTGTGCTAACCTGGGATATTTATACCTTTTTCTAAGGCCCTTGCAACTCATAAGGCGTGCCAACACCGTAAGCATACGCTGCGTTGTAATTCAAGGCAATGAAGTTGCTGGTGAGCAGGTAGCACCATGTCTGAGATCCAAAGGGAAAAAAGAACCAATAGTACAGCTTGCCCAAAGTGTGTGAAATTAATTGCCTGTTGAATGGAGGAAAAAAAAATAGTATTTCTGTACTTCTTGCCTGAGGCACTGGAAACTTCAACCCCATTTTACAGTATGTCTGCTCTTCATTCACTTCCAAGTGCAGACCATCAGGAAAACACACCCCAAACAGGGTAAGTGTCTGAACTAAGCACTCTCAAGGTGTTCTTATTGCCTGCTCTGAGAACTGGGGGGGGAAAAAAGCAAACACAAAATCAAAAAAATTCCATGCCTCTCATCACCTATTCTGATCGCAAGGGAGAAATCCTTTACAAGCACAAAAAGGTATTTAGCCTAACACTTCCACCCCCCAAAAATGTTATATTTGAACTGTGATCCGAGAAACTTTCTGTGATGAAGTCACAGCTTTCCTTAGCTTTGTTGAACTAGAAGAATTCCCAGAATGAAGGCAGGCTGATGACAGCAGAGACCACGGCTGAGCAGAACACATCCAGAACAGTAAAAACACCAGTACCTAATCTCTGCCACCATTTCCTCGTTACAGTTTTCCTTCATCTGCTGTGGACAAGGTCGAAAGCAGTAAGACATGGTTCAGGACAGGAACCAAACTTCAGCACTCTCAACTGCCCTTCGAGGGGCTTAAAACTGTCAGTCTTCTGTCTTATGTTGGATACGGCAGTGTGAATACCTCCAGAAGTTCCTTTTCAAAGTGCTAGGGGCCCCAAATGCGACATGTGCAAAGTCCGATAGTCTTATGGACAACTGGGGCATAGACCTACATCCTAACACTGATGCTTCATGTGGGTCCAGAACATAAGCTATCCTAATTATAGAGAAATTAAATTCGGTTAATTGACTGGACAACAAAAAGGACAGAGGCAGAGAAGACTACAGAAAGAAAACAAATATATTATCTTATGAAAGAGCAGAGATTTTACCCTCACATTGCTAAATATTCTGCACAATGGTGGCCAGGACTATAATGCTGCATGCGGTCTGCAGAGCAAAACTGAAATTCCAGGTAGTTCTGGTACACACAATCACAGTACACGTTAACTGGCAAGGTCCTGGCTTCATATGACTCGTGTTCTTTTGAGGTTATACTGCTCACATGGAGGACTTTCTTCAGGACTGTTTCCAATTACCAAAAAGCACCGAAAAATTCTCTTAGCAGCGTAATTTGTAAAATCTTTTCAACAGACCATCCTGAAGCTACGTGACCTACACCTGCATACAACGATGTGAAAAGAGAAATTAGAGACTAAGAGCTGTTGAGACTGACACATTTAAAGTTACAAAGATCCTGGAGGGACTGAAGCCTAAACATTATTTTAAGTTGAAGACAAAGAGACTCTTCAGTGCAATAAGCATCAGAGGCCTTTGAACAGCTAAAGTCTGGAAAAGAGGGCAACCCAAAGCAGGCCCACAAAGCAAGAAGGCAACTCCAGAAAAACTCAAGTTGAATAACAAACCCCCATTTTAAGTCTGTAAGAAGCTGAACGAAGCCTTGTAACACTTATCAAAAACGTCAAGAACCAGCCTGGAGCAGATGAGGAAGAGCAGAACTGTGGCCGAACCACTGGCGAACTTTTTCATAACAGAGATAGATAGCCAGGTATACAGACAACAGATCACAACTCGACTTGTTTCCCAACACCTGCACTCCAATCCAGAGGAGCTGCTTCAGAACACACCACATCAAAAACCATGCTGGGACGCGGTGAAGTGCCCTGAGCCTTGCTCGTCGAGCCCCTTCCACCCCCCACTCCATGCTTTACAACCCAAGTCCTATG